TTTCAGAAGTGAGAGAGTGATAAAGAGTGATTATGTTGGGAGTAACACCAAGCTGGATGTTGGAACTCAAAAGAAAAAGCATCCCCCCCTTTTTTTCAAAATAAGGACTAGGCATATTTGCCAGAATGCCAATCTATTACCCTACTTGTCAGTAGTTCATATTCTTGGGGCCAGATCCGCATGATGCTTTACTAAATGTTAAAAATATGCTGGTTAGTCCTATATAGGCTACTTGTTGACTGTTAGATGGTATTCTGCAGTTAGTTAACGTACAGATCATCAAACTTAGCTTGGACTAGCCGAGCACTGCAGCAGCTCAGTAGGATCCAACTTTAGCTAAATAATGTAAATATGCTAGTTTACCTCTTGACTGTTAAAAGTAAATTGTAGTGCTTTTAAAGTAAAAATGTGGCTACAGTCAATTAAATGAGTCATTGTAGAACAGTAAATAGATATGCTGCAGTTACATTATTGTCTGTAGCACTAGCATGCTAGCATTATCAAAAACGATCAGGTTGTTAAAAAACGCTTGTCCAGATGAGCCTACAGCCCAACTAGCGTCTCTGTGAGACTGTACTTAGGCACAGCGGTGCTTTGAGCTTCATGCTAATGTCTGCATGCTTACAATGACAATGCTAACAAGCTAATGTTTACCATGTTGACCATCACATTGTAGGCCTATTGGCAAAGATTTGCTCATCAGCACTAAACCTAAAGTACAACTGAGGCTGATAGAAATGTCATTAATTTTGCAGATTTTTGCTCTTTAGGGCTTCCCCCCGATTAAAGATTTTTCTAGTCAAGGGTAGCCAGTAATTATCAGTTAATTAGTTGGCACATGATTTTATTTAATAATTGTTTAAATATATATGTTTGAGGCATCAGAATATGGTTTGAGTTCCAGGGCTGAGAAAGACCTTTATAAAACTTCCTCTGACTCCTGAGCTAGTGGTGTAAACAAACACCAACACTCCTCCGGTACTCTGAGCTCCCAGTCCGGGGTAGAGTCAGCTAATAGGGCTGCTAACTGTGCTAACTAGCTAATAGCAGTGACTAGAGTTAGCAGATAGTGCCATGGATATATTTTATATATATATATTTTAGTTGACCATTAAGGGGCAGGCCTATTGTTCATAAACCAAAATATTGGACAAATTGAAAGATGGACTTAACGAAGACAAGTTTAAGAATCACCAAAGGTATTACAGTTCATCCTGAGGTGGACATGAATGTGTGTACCAATTCCATGCAAAAGTTATAGAAGTAATTCACTTTTCACTCAAAACCATAAACATGAAACTCATGGTGGCGCTAGATGAAAAGTCAGGGGGATTTATCCTCTGAGGACCATGAATGTCCGTACAAAATTAACATGCATTTGATTTGCTGCAGATAGACCCAGAGCAATGTGACATCATCCATGGAGGTGGCGGTAGGTTGTCCTGTCTTTTCCTGCAGTAGCTGTTTACTCCACAGAGAAAAACTGTACCAACACAAAAATATGACATGTCGGAGGACGAGTTATTCATTGGGCTGAAAAAAAAGGCAAAATGGCCTTTTGTGTAGAACACCGGACTCTTCTGTCTCTCTCTGGGGAGGTAGAGCATTTTGCAGACAAGTTTTTCCACTTTTGTCCTCTCCCTCTCTTGTCACCTCTTCCTCCCTCTGTTTTCATCTTTCTTTCTGTCCTTCTTTTACTCTTACTCTTCCTCCTCTCCCCACATATCCTTTTTAGTCTCATCTTCCTCTCCTCTTTATCTTTCTCTTCATCCTAAAGTCCAACTCCAAGTTCATGTCGGTCATTATAACCCCGCTGAGAGATATTCACCTCCACTAAGACCTCATCTCTCTCTGTCTTCCTCTCTGTCTTTCTCTGAGTCCAGCTTCAGTTTGATCATTAATAGTCCTGAGAGACAAATTATTGCCCTCGTGTCTCTCTCTCTTTATGTCTGTTCTTTTTTTCTTTCTTCTTCAGTGCCCCACCTTTTCTCCTTGACCCCCTCGTTCCTTTTTATCAATGTATTTGTACTTTTTCTCTTAAATTCGTATTTGTATAGTCCCCACTTCCTGCTCTACCTTCTTCCTCTCCAGAGGAGATATGGTCACAGCCTAACAAAACAGGGAAATATGGGAAATATAATAAGCTGCATTACCAACCTGGATGGCTGTTTTTTTGGTGAGGACAGGCCCATATATAGGCAAGGCAAAGCAATGCATGTTTATTTGAATAGCACATTTCAACAAGGAAATACAAAGTGCTTTACATAAAAGCAATGTAGGGTAATATAGAAAGACATTTAAACACAATTAAGAGTTTTAAAAAAAAGAGTTTAATAGAAAACAACTCAATACAGGAAAATAAAAGTCACAGTGTAAGATATTAATCAAAAGCCTTTACATTTGATTTAATAAAAGGCAATGGCAAAGAGAAAAGTCTACTGAACTGAACTGAGAGTTTCAGCAGACTTGCACTTTTCTGGGAGTTTGTTCCAGATATGTGGAGCATACAAAGCTGAACACTGCTTCTCCATGTTTAGTTTTGACTCTGGGGACAGAAAGCAGACCTGTCCCAGACGACCTGAGAGGTCTGGATGGTTCATAACGTAGCAGAAGCTCTGAGATGTACATTGGCTGTATATCATTCGGTGGTTTATAAACCAACAGTAATATTTTAAAATCAATAATTTAACAGACAGGAAGTCAGTGTAAATACCAGGACTGGAGTGATGTGATCCACTTTTTTGTCTTAGTGAGGATTCGAGCATCAGCATCTGATCGTTTCTTTAAATACAGTAGACACAGCAGCACTGTATGTATGTTCTTGCTATATAATATAGATACACGTGATAACCGAATGAAATTTGCAAATTATATATTTACATACAAAAGGGGTATTTTGTGGAACAATTTGCATTTTTAGTTTTATCGAGAGATGTGAGTAGCACTGTCTGGTTCATCGGTTCAGCCTATTTTTTTCATTTCAATGCATGTGACTGTGCTTTTGTGCACTGACTGGCACTGACAGGAGAACTGAGCATGCTTTTCGATGATGGGGGAAACAAACATGCAAACTCCACACAGAAAGGTCACAGTGCTATCCACTATGCTGCCCAACTAAAATGTGTAAATGCTTCAACTATGATCTGAGAAATTACTGTTATAAACACAATTAGTGGAGCTAAACCGATCAGAAAAAGAAAGTTTATTTCATCCATTCAAATGTTTTATTCCCTGTACAATTACTAAATAGATGTTTTTAAGGAACATACACATGGTTGGATTATAGGCGATGCAAATCTACCCAGGGGCCCCACAAGACCCAGGTTCACTGCTTGTTTCAGTTGGTTTGTGTTCATTTGATTTGAAAAATACTCACTTCTAAATTACAGGTGTGAGGTGGATCTGATTACTCAGGTGTGTAAGATAAAAAGGTAGTTCTCTTGGTCTTCAGGCAGAAAAAAGGGTTCAGCAAGAGGTCAGGACCAAAAGGGGACCAGGGAAGTGTCATAACAAATCAGGCAGGAGGACAGGCTGGACTGCTGAGGCTGCAGAATAGACAAACTGGCAAAGAAAGTGCGTGAGATTGTACCATGGAGCTGATTTGGTGATGGACGAGGAGTTTGTTTGAAAAACACAATCCTGATGTCAAAGTGATGTCATCGGAGGTGTAAGGTTTGGGTTTTTAGACATTTTTAACAGAAGGCCTGCGTCACAAACCAGAGGTGTGAGGTTTGAACGAAGCAGGGATTTTAGGAGGCGGCGTGTAATGAAAGACACTATCGAGTTGCATTATGGGAATTATAGGATCCAGTGTTTTTGGTGCTTGATGCATACTAGGGGGAAAATATCACGATTTCTTAACCTCTGCTGCTTTGATTTTGACCTTTCTGGTGGCTGCAAAACTGTTTCTACATTGCGAGAAATATTTAGAACCGATGTGTGTGCAGGCACACCTAAATTTTAAAACAGATTTAAATGATTTCTTTCTGTTGAACTTTTTCTTTCCCCGTCTCGTAGTCTTTTTCCCATCGTGTGTCTTTCTCGCATTTTGTCTTTCGTTCAGTCAGGGTTCCTCAGTGTAATGAGATTACATGGGATTATAAAACCCTGTCTGTCTGTAATCCACACCACTCAATCCCATTTCACTGTTTAAACACACACACACACCAGTAATTAATTCTCCCTGGTGCTTCATGATCTATTTTCTTATTCTTTTCTAGTCTTTTCTCTTTTAATCCCTTTCTTCTCCCTTTGTGATAGAAATTATCACCAGTGCCTTTTAATTTCTTTCTTTAATTCTTTCCTTCCTTCCCTCATCCTTTTCCCTCCTCTGTTCTTCTTCTTTTGGTCATGTTTCCTTCTCTTTTAATTCTTTCACTCTTTGATCTCCATCCCTCTTTTCTTTCATCTCTGTATTTGTTCCTTATTTGAATCAAATCAACAATCCCTCCTTCCTTCCCACCTACTTCTTCCTCTCCTCTCTCCTGCCTTTCCCCACGTCTCTACCTACAGTCTGATGATTTGCTCACTGATCAGCGGTCAGCGTGTGAAGAACATGCGTCCGTCTCGCCACCAGAGCTCGCATGTGAGCCACCACTGGACACACATACGCAGGGACACGCGCACACGCATTTGGGGTTGAGCATCTCGACTGAAAAAACAGAAAAGAAAAAGAAGCAGAAGAAGACAAATACAAACTTCCCGTTGGCGAATTAAGCAGCTCGTGAGAAAGTTTATGAAAGCGAGAGATCAGACCGATACCGCGCGCGCACGCACGCACACACACACACACACACACACACACACACACACACACACACACACACACACACACACACACAACGGGGTGTAATAAAGTCCTCCCTCTCTGTCCTCACCTATCACATCCTCAGTCCGACAAGGAGCCTTCTCTGATTGGCCCAGACGGCTGTCAGTCATTCTTGAAGAAGGCGGGACCTGGACAAGGGCTGACCTGAAGTCTGATCCAGTCGCTTTTACGCACAGACTGGACAGTCCGCTTTCCGCGCACGGATAACAAGAGTGAGAGCGTGTTCCGGATAGAGAGAGGAGCAAGTGGAGGACGAAAATTAGCAAGAGGAAAAAGTGAGCGGAAAACAAACAGAAAAGACGCAAGGACGCACAAGTGTTTTCCCATCTGGAAAGAGAGAGAAGAGGACGAAAGTGTGTGAGTGTGTGTGAAAGGAAGAGAGTGTGTGCGCGCCTTCAGCACTCTCCACTTCTTACACCACCACCTCCATGTCGCTCCCCGGCTCCCCTCCGCTCCTTTCGCCGGGCTCGAGCGCCCCAACTCCGGCCGCGCTCTACCGCTCGCCCCCAGACGCGCACCTCACCTCAGTGGCGTCCACCGGTACCTCCAGCCCGGCGCACACCAACTCACACTCTCACCCCCACTCCCTGTCCCCGTCTCCGCGGCTCACCAGCAGCATGCTCAGCGCTTTCCTGCCAGGCTTGGGCAACGGCGGCGCCGCCCCGCTTGTGTCCGGAGGCGGTGCCGCTCTAGGTCCTCTCAGTGGGCTCGGCTCGCTGAACGCGGCCGGCCTGACCCCCGGTTCCCCCGGCTTGGCGCAGACCTCATCCAGCCCGGGTCTGTGCAGCGAGTGCAAACTGGTGGAGGTGCACGGCGTGAAGGTGGCCAGCTTCAGTGTGGACGGCCAGGAGCTCATCTGCCTGCCGCAGGTGTTCGACCTCTTCCTGAAGCACCTGGTGGGCGGGCTGCACACCGTCTACACCAAGCTGAAGAGGCTGGACATCTCGCCTGTGGTGTGCACCGTGGAGCAGGTGCGCGTCCTGCGGGGGCTCGGCGCCATCCAGCCCGGCGTGAACCGCTGCAAGCTCATCTCCAGGAAGGACTTCGAGACGCTGTACCAGGACTGCACCAGCGCCAGGTCGGTGAATACTTTTAGCGCTTTAATGAATTTTAAGATTTTACCTTAAAGTCTCTACAACAGTCCGAAAGCCGGATGGCGTCGATCGAGTCGACATTGCTGTAAATATTTAGAACTTTCCGGTGTGTTTGTTGCGATAAAAGTGACTTTAGTAACTTTACTTCGCATGCTATTACAACGTAGAGGCTGCCTATCAGAAATATTTGCTGGAGATTTCCGCTGTATCCCCTGGCTCCAGATTTACTGCTCTTCAAATCCTGCTCCTATTCCTACAAGGGATTTCGCTTGGGATCAGCTCTGCATCTTTACAGACTTGTGTGTTTGAGACTTTCTATTTGTTTTAGTGAGTATTTGTATTTCTTTAATATCACTACACTCACTTTAAAGTAAAGCTGTGATGGTGAAGCGAATTTATAATTAAGTTGTTCCAAAACAGTAGGCTATTCCTAAAATATTAATTTCTTATTGGTTATCCATTTACTCTTTTTATTCTACTACTCTATTTCTAAGATCTTCCTCATGATTGAGTCCCATAGTGATTCACCAGTTTACTTGAATAGTCCTGTAACTACTTTCAAGCGACCTGGTCATTAACAACACCGTTATATTCCTACAGCATTTCTCCTGGGACTTGCAATGTGTTAGTTTTCGTGTTATTATATCGTTCATTTGTCTCTTACAGTCTGATCTCTGCGTGTGTCACTGTGATATTCCTGCAGCACTTTGCTTAATGCTCTCTATATTCTTGAAATTGACTTCCTGTTCTGTTGTCAGAATCCCTTATTTTGCTTAGGTGTCGAAAATTATGCTTTTACTGTATCGACTTTGGTACTTGATGGGGGTGTGTGTGTGTGTGTGTGTGTGTGCGTGCGTGCATGCGTATGCGTGCTAAATGAGCAGGCACATGTTTCAACAGTTTGGTGTTTTAGTAAAATAAAACACACTGACAGCAAACAAATGCCAAACAAACAACCGTCTGTTGACTTTAGTTATGGAAAAGCTTCTCAAACTCATAATCCATTACTTTATATCTCACGTGTGTGTGTGTGTGTGTGTGTGTGTGTGTTTATATAAGTGTTTGTGTGTAAATATGTGAGTGAGTGGAAGTGTGTGTGTGTGTGTGTGTGTGTGTGTGTGTGTGGGATAAAGAGCTTTCCTCTGGCAGAGTGTGTTTGTTGGAGAATTCAGCTTTAATGTGTATCTGTGTGTTAAAAGTGTTTTCAATAGGTCACCTGCTTTTCGGCGCCCATTAAACTGACTGCCTCAACCTTTCAAATTAAAACTCTGAAGTGACGTCCTGTGCGTCAGTTCTGCATCCCTGCCATTTTAAAACTAGTCAGCTCGCTCTGAAAGTGCAAATGAAGGATGAAGCACCTCACACATATGTATGTATGTATAATTTTAAAAAATCTAATTGGTAAAGAGAAAGTATCAGATCAGAGAGGCATCTGAAGCAGAAAACTGATGGAGCTTCCCTGCAGGCTGCACTTCTAAATAAAAACTATTTTTTGTTATCTGTGCAGCACACATTCAAAGTTAAATTCACTTTTGCTGAAAATTTAAGCATCAAAATGCTAAATTGAGTGAGTTTTCCTGAAACTTCTCTGAAAAAGAAATATCCCTCTCAGTTTGAATTGAAATGCCTCTAATTTCCAAAGTACTTCTTCATTTTCTAGATGTGAAAGTGCTCAAATGCAAAGAGCAGGTTGTTTATTTTCACCAGAGAAAGATGAACAGCTGTGTGATGGTCCAAGTGAGTTGCTGAACAATGTTGCCTTTGTAGTCGTTAACGGAAAAATTTTGTTAACTATTTTGGGAAACAACCTGCACAAAATAGTGTTTTGAAAGTATTGAGGTGTCTTTACACATCATAACTCCTACAGAAACTGATAATATACTTGATTTTTAACCTCAACTAGCATCATTTAGTACCAACAGTAGTTTGTTTGTTCAGATCTGACGCCAGATGAGAGTAAATTTGTTTATGTCAGCTCTATTTCGTCGTTGTTCTGCTGTAATGGGAACACATTAAATCCTGTGATTTTTATCACTGTTTTTCACGGCCATTGATTTCCAGGAGTAACAAGGATTTTACAAGGGCTTTTTTCCAGAGAGGAGAGGTCAGAGATCCACTGATATTTAAAACACATACGAGCAGCGTTGCTCCTAGAAAGGACAGAAGCAATATTGCATTTTCTTTTTTACTTTATTTTCATAAAAGCTTCTGGTTTTACTGATGCCTCTGTCCTTGTATGGAACATTTCTAATCTTAGAAGTTGTAAAAATGTGATTAAAAACCTGAATCAAATTAATACAAATTAGTCACTTTAAATCAGAGGTTTTCAAACTGTGAGGGAGAGATGGAGGCAAAGAAACTGCGTGAGGTGAAAGACAGGTGCGTGCCGGTTTTCCAAAAGCAACGGGAAGAGTTATGGTAGTCTGGCTGCTTATCACCACACTTAGCAATTGGAGCTGCTCGTGGAGGCTATTAAGGCACTTTAAAACCTTCAACTTCCAGATTGCCACAATTTGCACCAAAATTTATACTCTTTGACGTTTGAGGGAGAACTTAGTCAAATCTGAAAACACAGACATCATACACATATTTTGAGATTCAGTGTGACACTATCTCCAATGTCCATCTTGAATAAACATTCAGAAATCCACTTAGAAAAAAAAGACACTACTTATAACTCCCGAACTTGCTTGAGTATCGGCACATTTTTACTTTTTCTTGATAGTTGTCTGTGCATCCATGGGTACACTGCAAAAAGAAAAGGATCTGCTAATGGCTAATTCAGCATACTTTTACTGTTACCAAAATGTCAACAATTAAAAATGAAGAAATCCATGGCAACATTATATCTGTATTAATAATTAAATCAAGTTGGTGTTGACTGGCAGGCAATTTTGTTTAAGGGGGCCCACTGTGTTAGACTTTGAAAACCCTTGCCAGCAACAAAAAACAGGGAGGAGGAGGAGGAGTAACATGTTTAGCTTCATGGAAGTGCTCTCAATTATTTCTGGAAACTCCTTGAAAAGTCCTGGAATTTTACATCAGTGTCGCAGTGGGAACGCCGGATGCCGTCTGCACTCGTGTGACTGTGTGTGTGCTTTCAGCCCAGTTATTTTTGTGTCGTTGAAAGCGATAGATGGGATAGTTTTAAAGGTGGCAGTTGTTCAGTATCAGCTAATTATTAACAGTGTGTTGTGTTGCTAAGAAGTCACTGGATTGTTGGAGAGTGACCTCTGTTTTTCATCTGACCACACACACACACACACACACACACACACACACACACACACACACACACAGTGTAAGTCTATAGTTTATTAATCTTGAAATGTTCCATCTCGCTTTTTGTCTTTTGCTATTTTTTGACTCTTTATCACTTAGTCTCACTTTCTCTCACCCCTATCTGTTTCTTTTCTATAAACACCCCCCCCCCCCCCATTAGCAGTGTATTTCTGTCTCTGCTTAATTGTCTCTCCTTCTTTATCCCCCGTCTTTCACCTCTCTCCTCTGTCTGTTCATCTCAATCACTGTCTTCTCTCACACTCACACACAGCGGTACATGTCAGGGGTAATAATGAATCATGTGAATGCGCATGGAACAACACGGCTGGAGAGCTATTGTTGTTGAACGCACAGCGAACACATACTCCTCTCTCTCCAATCATATTGACATTCCTCTAATGCCTCGCTCTCTCACCCTCTCTCTCTCTCTGTTACTCTGGGAAAAGAAAGGAAAAATTAAATGCTCAAAAAAAGGAGAAACCTCCCACTGGGCTTCTGCATACTTCGTCTTCTCAGTAACCATATGTGTGTGAAAGCAGTGACCACTCGCATCCACTACCTAATTTAAAGTGCCCTTGATGTCGTTTTCTACTTTAATTAAGGAGCTGCTCTTTTTTCATAATATGAAAACAACAGAAAGAGAAATAATGTGTGAAATAGTTACAACACATCCTGCTGAAGTTGGAAGTTAAATATCACTTGTTCAAAGGAAACGACATCAACGCTGTAGACTTGCAGACTTTAAAATAACCCGTTGGCGTAGAAGTTCAAATGTCACCGCACACCAGATCTCTAGAAGTTATTCTTTAGTTTTTCATGAGACTGCTGAAAAGTTTAACTGTAGAAATAACTTCTAGAGGTCTGGTCTGTGGGGAGATTTTAACTTCTACATCATCATCATTTAGAAGAAATCTTTTAACGTTTTCTGGAGTAACAAAAACCTGCAGAATTAAAAGTAAAAAAATAGAATAAAATAACCTTTTTTGTCAAGATTCCTCAATGAGAGGTCGGAAATCAAATCCCGTTTCACCCACATAGGACGTATTGACAGAACACAGATATACGCTCTTCTAAACACCTGACTCTCCTACCCAGTGTGTGGCTCTCCGCTCCAATTGGTCGAAGGTGGCCCCTGTCAGTTTTTAGCAAACTTTACTCAAACAGGAGGACATAGTGGATTTGTTGGGGACTATTTTCAGCAGCGGATGAACCCACATTTGGTGCTCCAGTGAGTTTTTACAGCAGCAGGGATGGTGTTGGTGGGATTGAGTCTAAATTGACTTTGTGTTCATAGTAATGAAGGAACACCTGTGCAACAGTGCGGCTCACTGATGTGGTTTTAATCCTTCTTAGACAACAAGATGTTACAACCTCTAATTTAAAGCTGGACACAACACAGCAACAATCAAGTTAACAGTCCAAGGTTTATTCCAAAAAAACATGCAAGGATCAGTCAGAGAATCAAAAGTCCAGTAAATCAATCTGAGGTTTAGACGTGAGTCTAAGGGATCAAGGGGAAAACACTGGAAAGCTTGGCGTTAATGCAAAAGACAATCTGACAAAGAACTAAAGGAGATGGACCGGTGTGTGTATATATGCTGAAGGACTAATCAGACAATGAGCTGCAGATGGGGAGAGGAGTGGGGGACGCCAGGTGAAGGGAATGAGGTAATCATCCTGACACGAGGGAGTGGCAGGATCT